TCCATCCATCCATCCATCCATCCATCCATCCATCCATCCATCCATCCATCCATCCATCCATCCATCCATCCATCCATCCATCCATCCATCCATCCATCCATCCATCCATCCATCCATCCATCCATCCATCCATCCATCCATCCATCCATCCATCCATCCATCCATCCATCCATCCATCCATCCATCCATCCATCCATTTCTTCCCCACATCTCATCTCCATCTCCCCTCTTTCAGGGTCAAACCCTTCCCCCTCCTCCTAGGGCTCCCCTCCCTCATCCAGAGTCCCTCCCCATCTCTCCTGGAGCCCCTTGAGGGACTGGAAGGGGCTTCACAGTCTCCCCGGAGCCTTCTCTTCTCCAGGCTGAACCCCCCCAACTCTCTCAGCCCCCCCTCAGAGGAGGTGGGGACAGACTTTTTATCAGGGAGGGGGAGCCACAGGACGAGGGGGGAGGGTTTTAAACCGAAAAAGGGAGATTTAGATGAGATATTCGGGAGGAATTTTTCACTCTGAGGGTGGGGAGAGGTGGTGGGACACTGCCCCATCCCTGGAGGGGTTCAAGGCCAGGTTGGAGGGGGCTTGGAGCGACCTGTTCTGCTGGGAGATGTCCCTGCCCAGGGCAAGGGGTGGGACTGAGTGACCTTTAAAGGTCAATTCCCACCCAAATTCCAGCTCCAGATGCTGCTGGAAAGGAGCCGGAGCCGGTCCCGTGGTGCCTCCCACCCCCGCAGGTGATGCCACGACCACCAAGAAGCCATGGACAGGAGCCCAAATCCCTTCCCCACCCAGATTCCACCCCCGGACCTGGCTCAGATTCTTCCAGGAGGGGTGGAAAAGCCGTGTCACGAGCACGTGAGGTCTCAGCCTACCACGGAGGGGATTCAGAGGGAGAAGAACCCAACCAAACCCCACCGGAGGTGGGACCCACGGCCACCTACCACATTGGGTGATGTAGTCAACGCATCGGTCCACCAGCAGCGGGACGTCGGCCTCCGTCAGCTGCTGCTCCGACAAGGTGTCCCCCCCGCTGCCCGCTGCCTTCTGGATGGCCTGCACCCAGCCCAGGAAATCCAGCTTCCTCTCCCCTTGGATGTAGAGCGTCCTGAGGACAGCAGGACCTCAGAAAACCCACCCCATGGACCCCCCCAGGTGTCTTCTGGGGGTCACCATGGAGTGGGGAATGCCACAGGAGATGGGGGGCTTGGGCAGGGTGGGATGTTTGGGTGGAAAGGTCTCACCTCCGCCTCTCCACCAGCACCAGCACCTCGTTGTCCCCCTGGATGGCTGGAAGGGAAGGCAGAGAGGCCGTCACCCACAGGAATGTGGGGTCCCCCTGGTCCTTCCCCAGCCCCATGTGGACACAATGCGTCCAGCTCCAGCCCCCGGGGGGACAAGGAGTGACTTTCCAGGGATGGGGAAGAGGATGGAGAGGAGGAAGAGCAGCCACACCTCTGTCTCCATCTCCATCTCCAACCTGATCCACGTCTCTCTCCATCCCCATTCCCACCCCATCCCATCTCCATCCCCATCCCATCCCACCTCACCCCATCCCATCTCCATCCCCATCCCATCTCCATTCCCATCCCCATCCCATCCCACCTCACCCCATCCCATCTCCATCCCCATCCCATCTCCATTCCCATCCCCATCTTCATCCTCATCCCCATCTTCAAACCCATTCCCATTCCCATCCCATCCCCATCCTCCATCGCCATCCCATCCCAATCTCCATTCTCCATCCCCATCCCATCCTACCTCCACCTTCACCCCATCTCCACCTCCATCCCAGTCCCCATCCCATCCATCCCCATCTCATCCTCATCCCCATCTCCATCTCCATTCTCCATCCCCATCCCATCTCCATCTCCATTCTCTGTCCCCATCCCCATCCCATCCCCATCCCATCCCACCCCACCCCATCCCCATCCCCAACCCCATCCCTACCCCTATCCCTATCCCTATCCCTATCCCTATCCCTATCCCTATCCCTATCCCTATCCCTATCCCCATCCCATCTCCATCCCCATGTCCATGTCAATCTCCATCCCCATTCTCCATCCCATCCCATCTTTATCCCCATTCCCATCCCATCGCATCTCCATCCCATCCCATCTCCATCCCCCCCCCTGGTTCACCTGGTAGAAGGCGTGGAAGTTCCTCTCTCCCGGTTGCTGCTGGAGGACCCGAGACGGGAAGC